AGTCCCAGGCTTCTAAGACGCCGCAAGTCGCTGTACGGAGTTGCGTCCCTTAGACGTGCCAGAAACCTATGGTCGTGGGTTTGAATCCTAGATTCGCGCCGATTATTTTTCTCGGTTTGTCAGCACTAGATCAGTGGTCGTGGGTTTTACAAAATTGGTAAAGGTCTAAGATCTGCATTACTTCAGACTTTCCTCCGGCGTTAAGTGGACACGCGGTGATGTAACTGCAATACTGTTCAAAGTGGCGTAAAAATAAACTCACTCACTCACTCACTCTTTAACTAACACTGACCTATTTCTGCCAGTGTACAGGAACGTAGTATATACAACTTGATACTCTAAATGTTCTTACGTTATCGAACTAAATAATGTGACAATACAAAACATGAAAATGGCCTACTTTTACGAGAAGGATTTAGCTTGCAAATGTCAAAGTTGTAAGCCTATATTAAGTTCAGAAAGAGTAACGACACTCAAGTAAGCTATGCCACCTGAAAAGCAGAACTATCAGGAATTGATTCCTGGAAGCGAGGACAGAGCTATCATGCTAGGCATGAGGTTGGAACAAATGGGTATTCAAGGCGTAAGGTACCAACACCAGGAGCTCCTCTGCAAGCTACGCCCCCAAGACCCTGCTGGTGAGTTGCCTGACATCGTCAGTCTGTCGATGACTCGGGGGAATTCCCAGGAACCATTATGGAGTGTCAATACTTGAATTAACCTTTTAGTCTTCTGTTATGGAGTTATAATGTTTTGTAATATAGGCAAATGCAAAGTCTTTAAGGCTTTGCGTTCTGTTGAGGGGGAATACGGTAGACCTATTTCAGCCACATTGCGACTAGAGTACTGGCGCAAAAAACTCATTATAAGGTTTATTTCCCTAAGTTGTGGGTTGTGATTGTCTTTTCTTCTGTTAGTACCATGGCACCATTCTACAAATCGATCCCAGCACTACGACTGTCGTATGTCTATGTTTCTGATCGCTTTGTATTTCATCAAAATAGTAATGGTCAACGGCCTGCGAAACTTCTTAGCTACCATCACACTTAAACACATTAAGCATCAAACTCAAATAATTCACACAATCATCCATGACGATGACAATAAACCACAGCTTTTCTGATGGTTCGTGACTATGTCCATTAGATTCAGCCATTGTGGCCAGAGGATCCCCATTTCATTCGGACATCTCACTCTATGCTGTTCCGCAAGTCGTTTACTACCTTCATGATAACAATAAGGTGAAACCGGAATATCAGGACCCCTGGTCAAGCAACCCAATGTTTGTCGATAGAAACTTTCTTTGTTGCAAACAATATGACGTAAAACAGGTGTTGAGCAATCTTCTATCGGATCATGCCATGTTGAGATGCCGTGCGTGATGGTGAAAGGTTGTCTAGCGCAGTATTTTAATCACACGAATTGTATTCATCTGCGCTGCTGAATATTTCATTTATATCCGTATTTCGGTAAACGGCCATTGCCGTGTTTCGAGCTGGTGGATGCGTGGAAGGAACAGTACATAGAGGCTGGTTTGTGGTGGCAGATATTCTGCAGATTGACGTGAAAGGTTCCTGATTGTCCTCCATGCCATGGTTACCGCCCTTGGTCGTGATAAAGCATAAAGGCGGCTACCCAAGGTGGAGTCTATGGATCCACCATGCACAGTGTAACCTATCATTCAACTGTGCCTGGTGTCGCCTATGAACTATCCGTGATGTATATATATATATATATAACCATGCACTATCCGAGATGTATATATCCTTACACTATCCGTTATTTAACTATCTTTACACTATCGGTTATTCAACTATCCTTGCACTATCCGTTATTTAACTATTTTTATCACTATCGGTTACTTAACTATCCTTGCACTATCCGTTATTTAACTATCGTTATCGCTATCGGTTATTTAACTATCCTTGCACTATCCGTTATTTAACTATTTTGACACTATCCGTTATTGAGCTATCTTTGCACAATCCATTATCAACTATCCTTACACTATCCGTTATTCAACTATCCTTGCACTATCCGTTATTTAACTATCTTTACACTATTTGTTATCTAACTATCTTTATACTATCGGTTATTAAACTATCCTTGTACTATCCCTCTTTTAGCTGTCTGTGATGTCGCCTATCTGCGCACCATCCGTGATAGCGCATATCTGTCACCTATCTCCGATGTTAGATCTTTGAACTATCTGTGCACATATCTGCACTATCTGTGATAAAGTCCAGCTATCACTATCCTTGGTGTAACCTATCAATTACAGGTAGCCATTCAATGCATATCATATGTTTCTGTCAATCACACCGCAATCGGAACATGGTCAACAAATATGACATCGACAGGAGAGGACTGGAAGATGGCTTCTGTAGATGAACCCGGGGCGCTGTTATGCGCGAATTTACGGTATTCAGAATTCTTGAAGCTCACGAAGTAATCCTCCCCAGGAGCCGCCAGCACCTCGTGACGAGACCCTGGTTCTTTGCCTGTGTTGCGGCGTACAGCCATCATATATCATAAAAACCCTACTCACCTGTCTTCATATTGCTGTTGTAAATATTACATCAGGAAATTGCATGCTTCAATAAATAATGAGCCGTTAGATGTTAGTGGTGTATTCTTTATATTGATTCTGAAAAGGAATAGCTTGAATCACGCGTGGTCCCTCTACTACCCAACCAATCTAACACAACTGGTTCACTGCCGAGCAGACATGCGGTGGCCACGTGAAGTATGAAGCACTATCTTACTCCGCCACCTAGCGGCGATTGATACACATTAACTCGACTCTCGAACACGGTTACATCGAAAACAGTTCATCTCTGAATTTAACACCGAGTTTATTGCGTCGGATATGTTTATGTCAATTCGTCTGTCTCGAAATGTCAGTTGTCTCGACGTAAACAAGGGTCGTATATACTTCCGGGTGAACAGAAACAGTTTGGAAATAAAACTTGAAAATTTGTGCAATGCCTAATGTCGTGTGAACGGGTACAACTATACAATCGCTGACTGACTCGCTGAACACTCACTCACTCACTTACTCACTCACTCATTTTAAGGGGTGGTGGTGTACTTTCAGTATTTTACCACGAGCAGTGGCATTAATAAAGTCAGAAAAACATTGACCCCAAAAAGAGATCGAACAGCAAGAAGTGATTTATTGGCTAAGCAAATATGATCAGTCACGAATACCCAAATGTTACATGCAGGATGTCTTTGTTGAGAACAAATAGTCCATAGTAAATAATCTAATAATCTCGAGACACATCTTGAACCTGGAACATTGCTAAGGTGGATTTGAGATAATAGTTTGCAGTGTTCAAAGTTCAAGGTGTGATAGCGAAGGTAGATTTGAGATAATAAATGTCCAATGATCCGGACTACTACAAGCAGCCAAACCCACACATGCACGCACGTCGCTATATAAGTGCATTTAATTTGGACGCGACGTTATACTCCATTTCACCACACCTAAAACAGGGGCGGGTGGGTAGCCTAGTGGGTAAAGCGTTCGCTCGTCACACCGAAGACCCGGGTTCGATTCCCCACATAGGCTCAATATGTACAGCCCATTTCTGGTGTCCCCTGTTGATGTTGCTGGAATATTGCTAAAAGCGGCGTAAAACCATACTCACTCACTCACCTAAAACATATGACATAAATATCACAAATTATGTGACGCTGGGTCATAAGATGTGGTTTGTCAGAGTAGAAAGGTGCATCTGTTCCCAGCATCACCAATGACTCAAGCCAGTGATAATAAAAAAAATTACTGTTCGCTCGCCGGGCTAGTCAATACAAATACTATCCTTCATGCATGTGTTTCCAAAAGCACATATTTGCATTACAGGAGGTAATCAATTTGATACAGCACGACAACATGATCAGAGATTATAGACAGATAAAACAACATTCGACAAAACAGATCGAACATAGCCTTTTCTTTTCGCTGAAACATTGAACATATTACATGCATAAAACATGGCGTTTATTTTGATATCGAGGGTACTATTGAAATCAAAATGGACATTGCATTTACAACGTAAAGCCTCACGTATCGCTTGTTTGAATTACGAATGAGTATGTCGACTCAAACTGAAAGGCATATCGATGCTGTCGCCCTCTACAGCATCTATGGATCCAGTCGTGAATATTTATCACGCAATTTCTCGCGATAAATTACCCTTACTTGACATCGCACTACATAAGCAAGTCTCGCGAGATCTCCAATCTGGTCACAGCGAAGGACAACGTGTTGAGGGAGCTATTATTTACGTATGTTTTACGTTGGAGACCATAACGCTTATTGACGAATCTGGTTTCTGCTGCAAGATGTGGATGATATAAGACTTACGATAGATTTATAGGAAAACACATGATGAATCTACAGTTTCACATCCAGTAGCCATTCATTGATTTATCGCTAGCCGCAGCCACAAGTGTTTTCATGAATATTTATGCATGGATGTGCCGTTGGACAGAACAGTCGTTACATGTTGAAATATGTATTTGCTCTGAGTAAAGATACAAATCGGCCATCATGCTTGCATAGAATACATCTTCACACAGCCGTCACGTGTTATTGTTCAGGTTAATTGATATTTCAGATGAAACTTTTATGATTGATTATTGTTTGTTGTGTAACGCCGCACACAGCAATATTCCAGCAATATGACAGCGGTCTGAAAATATATCGATTCTAGGCAATACATTCCAGTGATTGACATCATGAGCATCGGTCCACGCAATTGAGATACGCTGACATGCATCAACCAAGTCAGCGAGCCTGACCACCCGATCCTGTTAATCGCGACAAGCGACAAGCATAGTCGACTTTTACGGCAAGCATGGGTTTCTGAAGACTTATTCTAACCCGGATGTTCACGGTTAAGTGGGAGGGGTCGTATGATGTAAATTGTTCGTGAGTCCTTTCAGGGACTGTTGGGCAGCCTAGAAAGTACATGATGTTTATTTGTTGACAGATAACGATGTCATAGACTGCTTCTACTGTACGACGATCTCCCCGTCCCGTGACGACTTCTGTGGGGATCCGTTCAACATCAGCCACCCGGAGCTGACCAAGATAGCATGCAAGGGCTACTGCGCCAAATGGGTCACAGAACTCTCTTCCGGTAAGGGTCAGTCTTATTCTTCCTATTGGAGATTTAACATGCGCTTTCCGCATATCCCGTATTTCGCACAGGGGTCAGCCAGTTCAACCTTTTCCTGTACAGAGCATGTAGCAAAATGAGAGAACGTGAACAACTGATGACATCAGAGGTAAATGGTCAGCACATAATTTCAAGTGCTGAAGCACAGCCGTCACCTCGCACGATGCATCTGCTTCCTGTACGATTCCCCGGGGGTTGTTGATGAAGCCACTGACCGTTTTATGCAACTCGAGCTCAGACATGGAACACACTCAATGCAGTGAAAAAAGAGCTTTGTGTAAGTCGTGTTGATAAGAACCCACTTAGGTAACACTGTTACCTAGGCAATGAATTTATTTTTCTCTAACCCCCATTAGCTTCAGACATTCGGTATTTCAGTATTTATTACGTTAAGAGAGCGTGGCTAGCCATGTAGTCTTTGGCGCTGCCCCCGGGCGAGCCTAGATCCGATGATCACGAGTTCGAATCCATAATGGTCCTGATTATGTACATCGTTTGGTCAGTACCTCAAAACGTGAACGTATCTGGATTTTCCTCTACCAGTAAGGTGACACGCCGATATGAAACCGAAATGATAATCACTTACCTGGTATGGTAACACCTAGAGGAGATGATCAGCTGTTTTCTTTCAGAATTACCGTTTTCCAGTTCAATTTCGATTTTAAGTCTTAACGAAGGAATAACTGTTTTATTGAAGGCATGGTGCTGATATAGTACACGAGGGCGTCAACGTTTCCATATTGTCGAAGGAGGCGACTAACGGGATCGGGTGGTCAATCTCGCTGACTTTGTTCATGCTTGTCATCGTATCCCTTTTGCGTAGATCGATGCTCATGATGTCAATCACTGGATTGTCTGATCCAGATTCGATTATTTACAGACCGCCGTTATATACTGTAATATTGCTTAGTGCAGCGTTAAGCAACAAACAAACAAACAAACAAACGCTTCCAAAATTTACAGCAACAGGTACCAGATCCGTTCCGTGTTGGAGTTGTGACCGTGTTAGCAGTCAGTCAGTTGTATGCTTGTTGTATCCAGTGAGATGCTATTCAGTGACACGTGGGTCATGGCGTCCTGGGTCGGGTAGGCAGCTAGGTGAACACGGGTTAGCAAAGGCGCAGTCGAGATCAATACAGCAAGAGTCATCGCGCATACGCTGACTAGACATCTAGACTGGGGCAGTGTTCGTTAGACTTAAGCTAACAAGGCGATGGTCACAGAAATGCGAATCATTTCATCACGAAACTATCTTCTACATTAAACCTCCTTAATCCGAACGCAGCCGGTCTCTGTACAATCGCAAGTTTAACACATGTTCGAGAATTACAAACAGGTACTAATGGACCTACTTGTATAGGGCTACGTAAGGGACCGACTATTTGATATTACATATATTGGAGCTGGTGGAGGGGGATTGGGGGGGGGGGGGGGGGGCGGTATACTGTACCATATCAGTGGTCTATGTGCTTTAGAAGCGGATTCGGGAGGGTTGATTTATAATTATTAGCAGTTTGTACAGCGTTGGCATTCATGTTATTGTCAAAGAAGCACAGTTTAATAACATAATAACGTGTAATTCAATATTCGAAATAGAAAGAATACCTTGAACTTCTACCTCCCAATTTATATCTTAGTTAAAGACCGCCTCCGTGGTCTAGTGGTAGAGCGCACGCCCGGAGAGCGGAAGGTCAGTGGTACTTGTTGTTGCCCTGCCTGGCGCTCGGCATTTAGGGACAAAGGGACAAAGACAAGGACTGGTCGGCTCGGAGTCAGTTTACTGTGTCTGAGTAGGGTATTGATGTTAAACTGCGGCATGGTATCACAGTGGACTAGCACTATAAAACCGGCTTTAGTCCGGACTAGTACAAGCAGACAGACACATACGCACACACCATGCACGTCACTATATAAGTGCAATAATATACGCGACGTTTAACCACATTTCACCTCACCTACAATTTAGACTACCCGTAGAAACTGGAGGATGTAACAAATTAAATGTTGCTGGAAGAAGATCTGACCTTTGTTTCTGATTTAGGCGATGAATATCATTACTTGTTTATATGTGACTACTTTAGTTATCATAGAAAAGTATACTTACTTTCCCTTTGTCCATAAAATGATGTATATGTTTAAAAGTAAAAATGTAAATGATCTTCGGAAAATTCTGTGAACTCGTTATGAAGTCATTTAAGTACCAACTGAAAATCCCACCAGTGATTGTATGTAATAATTATAGATCGCCATGGTAGGTAATTATGTCCTCTCTTAACCTCAAACTGCTATAATAATTTTGTGTGCTATGATAATAATGATGATGATGTAATTTTGAGTGAAATAAAGTTCAGATCAGTTCAGAATGGTTTGAAATATTGCTGAAATGACACTAAAGTGACATCATTAGGGTAAATGTTTAAGGTCATAAACGACCCCGTCAGCGCGTGACGTTTATTAAACAATCTGTTATAAAGTTGTATCTCTATGAACCAGTGGTACAATAAATGCTTCCGTCTACCAGTGATACATATGCTGATGGAGACGAAAAAGGGAACAATGTAAAATATAGGGCAATTAGGTTTACTGTCAGTACAAAAAGCGCGCAGACAAATTCAACGTGTCTCATAATCAAATGTCTGTATCTGGTGTGTCTCCCATGTCTGCGGATGACCTTCTGATATCTGCGAGGTACACTAGGGATTACCGCCCGGATGACAGGACGTGGAACAGCACGCCGCTCGTCCCAATGAGCAAGGGACATGGCGTCCGATGTCTGTGGTTGGACGTCCCCATAAATGACTCGAAGTCCAATGACATCCCTGATATGTTCGTTGGAATTAATGTCTGGGCTCTTGGCGGGCAAGGGGAGTACATGTTCTGTGACGTTGTGGAGTTGAAGAAAGTCCATCGACACACATGCTGTATGAGGACGAGCATTGTCTTGCTGAAACTCAAAGTTTCGCCCAACTCTGAAAGGGTACAGCTGTTGGCCTTAGAACCTCATCACGGAAGCGAAGACTTGTAAGGCGACCATCAAAACGTAGAAGCTCCGTTACCTAACCCTCCACCATATCGATAATTATGTCCGACAGTACATGGATGGTATCGTCCATGTCGGGGTCTCAATACACAGATTCGACCATCTGCAAAGTCGAGTTTGAAGTGTGATTCATCACTGAACTTGTCGTACGCCATGACGTAAAGTCCATACCATGCTGAAGCGCTGCCAAGTCGAACCCACCCAGAACCTTTCGGAGAATGTGAAGACTCCCCAACAATGCAGCCTTCTGCATTACCCTTTTTTTCAGAAGGGCTGTATTCCTGACAGCAAACCCGGGCACTCTCCTAAAGTCTGCCAACAGCTGAAGATTGTGAAGTACCAAACTTAAGGCACCGAGAAAAATTGGGAGTCGGAGAACTTGTTACTTGGAATGCACGCGTCACGTTTCGAAAGTGAGGTCCGCGGATTTGCCATGTTTTTCCTGTTGTGGGCCTATTCCGAAGAATTTTGTATATATCATTTTCCACGACGACCTCTACATATTCGGGGTCGTACCATGGATAGACCTCCGTGCATCATTGCATTATCTACATTTCATTGTATAACCTACATTTCATGTTTACATTTTGATGCAAAATCACAAATTGACGGTTGACTGTGGAATGTCTTGTTTTCATCATGAGTCTTGACATGCTTCACAAGAGGATCATCAGACAAATATATGTGTGCAAAAGTGCACAATACAATTCTATCATGAAGAGCCTCCACGTTAATCAAACCACGCCCTCCCACTAAAATTGATAAATATAAGCGATTGGGGGAAACGCGAGGGTGGTGGGACTTATTGTCTGATATGATTCTTCGTGTGAATTTGTCAATACCGTGACTGTATATTACTACTACTACTACTACTACTACCCAACAATAATAATGATAGCATGAATAACAAACACAATCAGAAGTCTGCTTTCATCCAATAATTTTATTCCGGTTACCATGTAAATAATTATTCAACCGTGATATCATAATGCTTTCGGATATTTAACGTATTGCTTATTTTCAGGCTGCATGCACAAACTGAGCAAAGACTACAGGTCTGAGTGTTTCAGGGAACGGTAGGTTCTACGTCTTGGTTTTAACGCTCATATGTAGACATATGAGTAAATCTGACAGTATATGTATTATATTCCTATTTCCAGGTGCAGTACATTACACACGCACCTGCTCCAAAGATATCAACATGAAGATGCACAAGCACCTGGTCTGTATGAAAGAGAGAGGGTCTAAACACGGCCATCTTTGCTTCTGCGACCAGAAGGATTGCAATGCCGCAGCGCCTGCTGGTACTTCCGGGTCGTGGGCCGCAACCTTGACCTTAACTGCTCTACAGTTCTTTCTGATGAACATTTTCCCAACATAATATTCTTTCAAGCATTTAGAATTGTGGTTATTATTTATATCTGTCGGCCCAGCCGCATGGGAAATTGTGTCCCGATTATTGTATGACAGAGTCTTGTCAGTATTTGCCTTCGCATGACATGCCGTGTATCAGGGTTTTGTAATGTACATTTTCCAAGTCCCACTATTGAAGTCATTTTGAGACATTTCATATTGTTGATCAATGTTTGTTGATATTGAATCAGTACTTCATTTTAACATTTTTATATAATTTGAACTGTTGTGGCAGGAAATGTTTGCTTTTTGCCTTGTAAATTCCCTTCATGATTGTTGATGTACATCACATTAAATGGACACTGCACTGTAATTAAGGTGAGGTAACAACAACCGTGTGTAGTTTACAGGGTAGCAGCCTCTTGCACATGGATTACTGGAGATATTAATATTTACGTCTAGGCTTTATTTAAGCAAATGACGTTCATAGTTATTGCACGAGACCATGAAGACAAATGGTATACTGTGTTTTGAACTTACATCATATGAGTTAGGGTAAATAAATCTTAAATTAACGCATTCATTATTTCAGAACATGGTAATGTTTCAAAAATGAAATTTTGAAAATAGCGACAAAGTAGTTCCAAACAAAGTAGTTCTTGAGGTGAGGTGAGATAAAATGGGGTTTAGGGTGGCGCACAGGATTATTGCACTTATTGCACATAGCGACGTGCATGGACGTGTGTAGGGGACCTGCTTATACTATTCCGCAGTTTAACATGGATACCCCACTCTGACACAGTTAACTGACTCCGAGCCGAGCAGTCCTTGTTTTAGACCCTTAATGCCGAGCACCAGAGAAACAATACAAACGTTTAACGCATTTTGGTGTGACGGCCAGTGATATCTATTCCGTTTATATCATATATGAGTGAGACTTAAGAATTATGCTCGAAATTTATTTTACCGCACATAGGACACAGCAAGAAACAAGCTACGACGAGAACAACACGAATATAGAACGGGGCCGGATTTGTAAAAATAATAAGACTAAGGAAATAGTTTCTAGCGCTCTGGCTCTGCCCCACAATGAGATGAGGTGAAATTGGGTGTGTGTGGCTGCTTGTATTAGTCCGGACTGATGCCGATTTATAGTGCTAGCCCACTGAAATACCATGCCGCAGTTTAACATGAATGTCCCACTCAGACACAGTATGCTGACTCCGAGCCGACTATAGCTTGTTTTACCCCCTGAATGCCGAGCGCCAGACAGGGTAACAACAAGTACCATCTTTTAACGTCTTTTGGTATGACGCGGCCGGGGATCGAACCCCGGACCTTCCGCTCTCCGGGCGGACGCTCTACCTCTAGACCACGGAGGCGGTCCGCCCCACAATGAAGCACATGTAGCACATGTGGTGTCTGGGAAGTGATTTTGTTCACCCAACCGTGAATGGGTACCCGGTAGGATGAGATGGTAATGTGGCTGTTAACCTTTTAGCGCCTCACAGGCAGCTTGGGTTGTGTACTCCCAAGGGAGATGAGAAAGAAAATGGAGTGGACACTGATCCATTGGCCGGGGTAATAATAATTAAGCGTCATGGGCTTTCACAGGGTGATTGGAACTTGGCCCATACTACTATAAATATCAATGAAAGCAAAAGTCAGCTGACGAGGGAACAGATAGTCGATAGACGATAGGCAGGACTAAATCAAACCCGACTCTTCATGACAAAATAGTCTACTTGAGACGTCCACACGATTCACTTTTCCTCAGCGTGTTACTGCTATATATGTAATAGCTTACCGTTCTGTTTGCTGAAGTTTTCCTCTCTGGTAGTGATTGTATGCTTGAAGTATACATGTCAGGTGCTGGTAAATACGCATTGCTACATTGTATGACTCCGTTTGCTATGTCCCATTCTAGATCTCACTAAAGTGGAAAGGGTTGTTGCAGAGCGTGAGTACGGAGTGTGACCTGTGACCTGTGACCTGTGACCTTCAGCTTCCCCAAAGTTCTTTTTCTTGGCAACCAGGGTTAACTTGATTCAGCTTGAGTTAACCAGTGTTGATCAAGGGGAACTTCGGTCAGTAACCGAAATAACAGGCAGAAAATGCACCCTTTAATATAATAATGGCCGCCAGGAGAAGGAAAAACACAGCAGCCATTGCCATAACAAGAACAATGAGAGGTGAACACGTGTTTAATTTCCCGACAAAGCTGCTATTGTACCTTTTATATAAAATGTATGTAAAACGTCAAGAAATTCAAAATGACGTGTTTGAACATCAAACGAGAAGAAAAGTCATCATCAAAGTTGCGTTATTGATTCTAAAGTATTTATTTCAACAATCGAAATGGGTTTCCAACTTGGTTGCCATCCTGTGGGTTTCCAACTTGGTTGTCATTCTGTTGGTTTCCAACTTGGTTGCCAGGCTGTGGGTTTCCAACTTGTTTGTCAACTTGTGGGTTTCCCCTCCTGTCGTTCTGTGGATTTACCCTCTCGGTTGTCGTTCTGTGGATTTCCCCTCTTGGTTGTCGTTCTGTAGATTTCCCCTCTTGGTTGTCGTCCTGTGGATTTCCCCTCTCGGTTGTCGTTCTGTGGATTTCCCCTCGGTTGTCGTTCTGTGGATTTCCCCTCTTGGTTGTCGTCCTGTGGATTTCCCCTCGGTTGTCGTTCTGTGGATTTCCCCTCTTGGTTGTCGTTCTGTGGATTTCCCCTCTTGGTTGTCGTTCTGTGGATTTCCCCTCTTGGTTGTCGTTCTGTGGGTTTCCCCTCTTAGTTGTCATTCTGCGGGTTTCCAACTTGGTTGTCAAGAATGTGAGCCTGTAGTTTTCTTCCAGTCGGTTGTGTGTTAACCCTTCGCAAACAAGGTTCAGGGTCGACTCCCCTCCAAGATGCCTCTCGGTGGTCGTATAATGTTGACAGCTGCGCATCTCGGCATAGGGGCGGTTTGCAGGGCAACTCGCGTGTCTCAGTACCCGCTGCTGTGGAATAGTAGTGACCTATGCAACACCCTTTCCGCTTTATGTGTATGAAGTACACCCTAGACTAGGTATTTACTAGATATTGGTAATAATACATTCGCTAGATTTGCATTTCTCATTGCTCTTCCAGGTTTATGCAAAGTCTAGTTAGATTTTTGCGTCTTTCAACTCACTTTTACAATATGCAAACCAACAGTTTACTGACTGAACTTCATCACAAACTTACTGCTATTACCTTCATGTATAATATTATCTATATACATTACCATTCTGTGAATAAATGCTTTATATACCGTAAACATGACTTGTTCTTCTTCTCCATGATTTGGACCGTTCATATTTGAACTATTGTAAATATATAACGTCAAGGCGGGAGAACAGTCTCGATTATCCTTCGAAACAGTTTCCATTTGGTGACGAAAATGATATGAATAGACCACTGAATATCAGTGACGACACCAGGTCTTCGCGAAAAGGGTTCGCATACCCTGCTCTAGCGGTAGCACCAACCACTCACATGATATTGATTAAAAAAGTCAATGTCCAGAAAATGGTGATCTGGTTGCGTATAGATGGACGCTTGGTTTCCTTTGTTGTTTAACGCCGCTAGCAGCAATATTCCATCCACATGACGAAGGTCTGTAAATAATCGAGTCTGAACCAGGCAATCCAGTGATTGATATCACGAGCATCGCTCCACGCAATTTGATACGATGACATGCATCAACCAAGTCAGCGAGCCTGACCACCTGATCCCGCTAGTCGCCTCTTACGAAAGCATAGTCGCCTTTTACAAGCATAGTCGCCTTTTACGACAAGCATGGGTTGCTGAAGACTAATATATCTTCACGTGTCTGGACGCTTGATGATTTCTTTGATCACCAAGGGGGACGTACTCTCAACTAAGGCCCGGTCGAGTGTATGACTCCACAGGCGTGAAGTAGTGCTCATACCATTGACCACTAGTTTTCCTGATGACTCGTTTATACTATATGTGAACAGCTGATAACTGATACATGACTCAAGTCACTCTCTTGCCGCTGTCCAAGGCGGAACACAAAAACACGTCAAATTCGTCTCGAAGCTAGGATTTATATGGCGCTTCAATAACTGTGTATTTTGGAAATGGGAAATGGGTAAAACTGCTCCATACACTTCCACACTGGATAACATTTTTATTTAAAAACGGGTATGCAGAGCTTGACAAAAGAGCAAAACGCAAGCATCTTCTTGTACAAGTATGGCCCTTTTCAAGCGAGAACACTTTCTTAAAATATTTTAGGGGCGCTTTGTTCTTGTGGAACCAATACAGCATTTATGATGAATATGAGCATTGTATTCCACCACATATACCACTGTATCACAAGCCATATCACAGAGGGACATCAGGAACGAGCATCACATAATGAACTTGTAGGGAATCGAACCCGGCTGAAGAACGATGGCTTTACCAATTAGGCTATCCAACCGTATTTTTGTTTTAAGACGAAATATGCCAAGACCATCAGCGCATCACACAAGAGTTCGTTACGTTTTTCATCATGTTTCAATGAATAAATAAAAGCGTCGCAGAACCAGTGGCATAATTAACATGAATTTCAATATCAATACCATCTCAGCACGTACATCAACACCAGCACCAATACCAGTAGCAACATCATCAACATCAAGAGCAACCGTTTCAAAACTCTGGATCCCGGGTTGGTATTCCCAATAAATATTTTTTTAAGTGATTTCGTGGCTTTTGAGCATTTTTTTGTGTTTGTTTCCGAACTACTGTTTCCTACATGATTGGTAGACGATGGAATGGACGGTCCTTAGTTTGCATTACTGCGATGAAAGATGTCACCGATGTTGTATTGTTAATTTCGGATTTTTTTTGTTTCAATGATTTTATAAATAAGCAGTCTGTGAAGTTATTATTGTTTCCGTATTCATTTATAAGAATTGGGTCAATATGTTTTGTGTATTGAGGTATACGCATAAAAGCCGATGTGTACACAGTATGCCCGCCGGATTTATAGTATTGAAGCCAGTTCTTTTATAACTCATCTCTGTCAATAATCTCTCATACATGGTCTTGTCATAAACTGACGTGGCTAAACAAAATAGGGCCCGAAGCCCACACGGTTGAACATAGGCTAGCCTAATACTGGTTGAAAAACACGTGCTTTTTAAGTATACCGGGTTTTATTACAATAAAGGATATTTAATTTCTCGTATTATCCGTTAAGATCCGGGTTAGGATTGATCTTAAGCGACCAATGCTTGTCGTAAGAGGCGACGAACTGGACCGAGTGGTCAGGCTCGGTGACTTGGTTGATACATGCCATCGTACCCCAACTGCTTAGATCGATGGTGATGATCACTGGATTGCTTGGTCCATATTCGATTATTTACATTTGCGACATTAAGCGCCTGACACGATGCTTGGCAGAGTGCAGCTGTTGTACATTGTTTAATTATTATTATTATGCCTATTGTACAACAACGTCATATACCAGGGCCCACTTGCACAAAGCGATCTTAGCGCAAAGACTATCGTAAGCCTATGTTAAGGTATGGGAGTTACGATTCATAAAATTAGTAGTTCACAGGAGCGAGTTTCGTATTTTATTTATTACTTGCCGCTTATAACTTTTTTTTAAATTTCTCTGTCGTGTGTAAATAGACAAACATCTACTCTATCCACAGCATAATCAAATTGAGTATAACAGAACAATGCTTCAAACACATGAAAGGTTGACACGTCTTAATTTAATACCATACAACGGCGTATCGTTAGATTCGGGTGTCCTATCGTCGCGCTAAGGCGCTAACTCCCATTTTTCCCCCGCTGAATGTCGATTTATTTTTCTGACGCATTTTTTCCAAAGATCTGAAAAGTAAACGTAGTGCGAGAATTGAGCTCACGCGGCACTGGATCTACCTCCGGCAATATTATTACGCAGGGGTGAAGAATATTGAATTTCCTATCTGATGGTGAAATTATACTGCAAATATTAAACCGTTTTGAAAAAAGTACACTGCTAAGTGTTGTCTGAGAATTTATTCTGCGTTAAAAAACATCAAATGTTTCCATTTTTTATCGTACATCGATAAAAGTACTGTGCGACGATTGTTTTTTTGGAGCAGCTTCATGGAAACTGTGAGAGAACAGAATTCTACCTAATATCTAAAGGACAAATGGACAAATATATAT